TGTCTGGTTTCCAGAACGACTCTTTCTAATGTCCATTTTCTGTTTCCCCTCTCTTCCCTGACCCCTACCCTCTGCTCTGAGCCCTGGCTGGTCTTTCTTGTCAGCTGACTTGAGACGTCTGTCCAGGTCATTGAAGATCTGGACTGCTATCTGTCCTGACCTGTTCACCAGGTTCCTCAGAGCCTGGACAAAGAGAGGAGTACAGTGTTTGTTGGATGAATCAGTCTGATGTGGAGGCACACAGATGCACAGACCTGAGATATGTTTCTTCCTCTTCTCTGATGAGAGGTGATCTGGGTGGTATCTATGATGTCCTGTTGAGTGGGAGGAGTGTCCTGATCGACAGTAGAGCTGTCCTGTTGAGTGGGAGGAGCACTGTCATGGCCACAGTCTGAGGACTCCTACAGAACACAGCGAATTTTGGCACATGAGATGGCAATCATCCTGCATAGTTTAGTATACGCATACACACATGCACAATGCTCACAAACAGATCGACACTAAACCAATACCACATAATGTAACTCTCTTTATATACACAGGGATACTTCTAAACCACATCCAGAACTTACACACAGAGTGATACTCACATGATGACTGGTTGCGGCAGTTGGTTCTTCTTGCAATGTTCCCTCAGAAGACTAATCACTCCCTCATAGTTATATTGAGGTCTCTCTCCCCTGTATTCGTCATAAGGCCTCCATTCCTTTCCTCCCTCAGCCTTGACCTCAGCAATCTCCATAGCTGTCAGGCCATTCTGTACAGGGAATGGAGAGAGATGAAACCGTGATGGATGAAGATACTCAGGAGATGAAGGAAGATGATTCCTGTTGCTAGCCCTACCACAAACCTTGTCGTTGATTTACTTCCCCATCTTCACTTGCATTTCGTGGCCTCACTTTCCTCCCCTTTCCCTTCATGTTTTCTTTCTTTTCCCTTCTTTTTTTTCTTAATTTTTTCTTTTTTCTTTCTTTGTTTTTGTTTTCTTTTTTTTTTTTTTTATTTTTTTCTCTATCTTTCTCTTATCTTTTTTTTCCCCCTTTTTCCTCGCCTCTCCCCTTTTCCTTTGCGCCTCCTGCTATTTCTGCCCCTCTTTTTTATCTTTTTCTTTTTTTTCGTCCTTTTCTTTTTCCCCTATTCTTTCACACTTGTCTTTTTCACGGCTATATTCTTGTGCTTCACCTTTTTCTGCTTTTCCCAATTCCTCCCCCTTTTTTTCACCCTTCTCCAGGTGAGGCTGGCTCCTGGCCCCAGGAGTGCTGTGTGGTATCCAAGTCTCCTCTCTCAGCAGAGAAGTGGAGAGCTGACCATCCTGTGCCCTGTGGAGAGAGAGGGAGAGAAACAGGAATCAGTTGCCACGAAATTTTAACAAACCCCGCTGCCCGTGTTCTGGAGTATATACCAGCCTAGATCTGAGGCCTTCTCCCCTATAATGTATATATATGCCTTTAAACCATGCGCAAAGTTAAGGAGGGAGAATGCTTAAAAGTTTTTTAATCACGTGGTACGTGGCACGAAGACGTCACACCCATAAGCTATAAACATAATTTATATGTACGAGTGATGTAGTGTGACGTTTGTGCCACGTATCACGTGATGAAAATCTTCTAGGCCTTCTCCCTTCCCTTCTGAGCATGGGCTGTAAACACTGTGAGAGCTAAGACCTGAATTGGTGACGATTGCTTCGTTTAGCTTTCGAAGGTCATAGAGTGTACATTCAGATGCAGGCTTTTCGATCCTCAAGACCATTTGCGAGAATGCTTGTTGTAACTCATTGTCCGTTTCTTCTGGTACAGCACTGATATAGACGTCGACTGGGGTTAACATTTCAAAATTAATGAGCATCCTGCAGTATTCCTGCATACTCTGTTGCAGTGAAGCAACATTGAACCAGGTGATGATCTCTTGCAGTATCTCGTAGTTTCGGAAACTCAAGTAGCGACCAAGGATGGCAAAGAGCTTACGAATGTTCCTTGCCTCGAGAATGTCGTCTTTGACATGAGCAGCTTTCTTGGCGACCGGGAGAAAAAGAAGATGGTCACGGAACTCGTCTAGAAACTCCTGTTCCTGGCTCTCCCTGGCACACATCTCTGATCTGGTACGAGATATCAGCTTGGAGAAGGTCTTCTTGAGGTGAAGAATGGCAGACTTTACGTCAGCCACACTCCTGAGAGCCACAGGCTGGCAGCGATCACTAGGAGGTGGGGAGGTGGGCTGGTTGGGATCAGTTGAAGGAGGAGGAGGAGAGGGGGCAGCAGGAGTCACTGGAGCTGGTGTGGCCACAGACCGGACTGTGGCGGGCTGGTGACCATCAGTGGAAGGACTGGCTGCTCTAGGTGACTGGAGACAATGCTGGGAGGCCACTTGCTTTGCAAGACTGTTCATCTTGATGTGTTGGAGGCCAGAGACTAACTTTGCCCAGCTGGCCTGGGTGTCTTGGTCCAGCCAGGCCTGGATGCTGTAGGTCTTACAACTGCTACCTTTGTGCTGATACTCAATGTCCCGAACAGTTTTGAGCTGAACTCCGAAACGAATCACAAGTTCTTCGGTCTTCTCAATGGTGAGTGGGTCAAGAGCAGCCAAGACGTCAGATAGCAACATTCTAGAAGAGGCAGCCATTCTCCTAGAGTAGAGCAAAGATGTATTTACAAGAGGTGGACACCGTGAAGCATCTCATAAGGTAGCCACAATGAAAGAGCTCGGAGATGCTTCATTTCTACCGCATGTGCGAATATTATTGTTAAGTTTCTGCGGTGATCTGTCACCTCGCTCAGTGGTTGAACCTAGTGCGATGCAACTGGTGCTGTGTGCATCTGAGATCTGGTATCTACAGATCTAGAAGATGTTAGTTGGGCGCATGTGCATGTGTGGATGAAAACTGTAGTGACACGTCCTGTTCCTATTGCCTGCTAGACCCTGCTTACGCTCGGTGTTTGCACAGAAAGGGTTAATGTATATACCTGGTTCGTCAGTGTGTCTGTCTGTTACCACGTTTTCTGCAACCACGCGCAAGAAATCGGCCAAAAAGCGACAGAAAGGGGTTCATTGCTACACTGGCTTAATTTTAAAAATTACTGCGTTCAAAATTTAAGGGGTGAAAACCAAGTGAACAAGCCAATATGCAAATTACTACTCACTTACGTACCTCGACCACCTTCCACCTGTTTGCGCAATGTGAAGGCGTTGGAAAATAGCGAGTTTCGAATCTCGCGATCCCTAAGACAATATTTTGCCTCTCAGACACTAAATTAGTTAAGAGAGCAAAACGTCAGGAAATCAACAGTGTAGCCCAGCCCAGCAATTACTGGTACCGCTGACCAGCGCATGCGTATGAGTGTAACCCACACATCTGAGCATGTCTAGTGTGCCGAGGGTTTCCACTGTCGGCAGGCAATACCTAATAATGGGCAGACCGAGCTCATGCAATGCAGTTTCTGAGAAATGGACCTCAGTTGAAGTTCTGCCCAGGGGCAGTCAGAACACTGCACTTCTGGACTGGAGATAGGCTACTACGCAGCGTTTCCCAATCTCTTTCCCTTCTGGAAGAATTCTTCGCTGCCTTCAGACGTGGCCTTCATGCCTGGGTGTGTCGTGTGGACGTAGGAAATTGGTTACCCCAAGCCATTGTAAATATATAAATATGTAGGCATGCTTGCTGAGGACAAGGCACACAGTACAAGTTTGTCCAGTCCTAAAACACATGTTAACTCCCTGCATGATAGCAACTAATTAACCCTATCATCGGATGAGAGTCGGCGACATGTGAAGAGAAGAACTAGTCGAGGATTGTAATTTCGGCAATTATACATCCTCACTATTTGTCACAGACTTATGTCATCCATTCCTCCTACATAGAAAACCTCTGCATTAAAAGACAAGGTAAACTCGCTTCGCTCTCCAGTTGTGCAGATTGTGAAGGTATTTGAAAGTGGCAAAAATACAATTCCCTAATTCCCCAGACTCTCCAAACCACCCGCAAGAAACCGATCAAAAAGCAACAGAAAGGGGTTCATTGCTACCTGGCCTTATTTTAAAAATTACTGCGTTCAAAATGTAAGGCCATAAAACAAAGTGAACAAGCCAATATGCAAAATACAACTGATTTACGTACCTCGACCACCTTCCACCTGTTTGCGCATGGTGAAGGCATTGGAAAATAGCGAGTGTCGAATCTTGCGATCCCTAAAATGTTATTAACCCTCGGCACGCATGCACAGTGAGGGTTATAGTACTTGGTCTGTGTGTGAGTCTGTCTGTCTGACCGTCTGTCAGCAGCTATTCTCGCACTACAGGCTTCGAGGTGGCCTAAGCGAGATACCAATGTCTTCAACCTGAAAAAAAGGGAGATTTTCCTAAAAAGACTGCGTTAGAGAGATATGCTGCGAAAACAAACGAAAAGCCAATATGCATAATCGCACCAGCTTACCTCGACCGATCCGCTAGCTCTTTGCAGCTTGCGGAGGCAGAAGTCACCACTAAGTCCGTGGATCGACTCCTGCATCGTACAAATACGTAGGCATGCTTGCTGAGGACAAGGCACACTGTCCAAGTTTGTCCAGTCCTAAAACACATGTTAACTCCCTGCATGATAGCAACTAATTAACCCTATCATCGGATGAGGGTCGACGACATGTGAAGAGAAGAACTAGTCGAGGACATAATTGCGGCAATTACTGATAAGACTACATACTCACTGTTTGTCGCTCTCCAGTTGTGCAGATTTTGAAGGTATGTATTTGATAGCGCCAAAATACAATTCCCTAATTCTCCCAGACTCTCAAAAGGCTTGCGGTATGAGGTTAGAAACTAATGCATATACCTTAGCTGGCAATGCCATCGTAAAAATCATAACTTCAAGAGAATGAGGTGGTCTTAAGTTAAGTCTGCACATGCTCTCTCCGTGTGCGGCCCCACAATACATGAGTGGACCGGAGAGAGGGTCTGGGGGATAGACTAGTGGGGTGAAGAACAGGCAAACTTACCATCTTGAAAACTTACTATTAGCAAGAAAGTAGGAGTAAAGACAGGCCAACTGACCTTCCCAAATACATTAACAATAGTTGGAGAGTGCAGTTGAAACAATCCAAGGAAGCAATGGCGAAAAATGGCCTCAACTTTGTTTTTTAGCATGGACGTGGGGTGAGGACAGGAAAAACTGCACACCATGATGAAAAGCACTAAAGAAAGTGCAAGCCTTCGGTGCACTGTGCTGGCGCGGTACTGCTAATTGATGGACTGAGCTATGAGTATGCTTTACTCGTGGTTCCCACGCTTATAGTAGCTTGTGAGTGACTGACATAGGCTAGCTCCACTAGTAGATGCAGGAGTCGAAACACACCCTTCGTTTTGCCTACTTTTGCGTCCAAGGTAGACAGAGTGATGCATATTGGCTTTTTCACTTGGCTTTACAGCATATCTCTCTAACTCACTTGTTTCAGGAAAATCACTGTAGTTTCCTGGCTCGCGTAGTTCTGAAGCTGTTAGTATTGATCACAGGCTGCCTGTAGTACCAGAATAAGCGTTGACAAACAGACAGACAGACGAGAAGACCAAGTACTGTAACCCTTTCTGCACATGTGTGCCGACAATTAATGAATTCACTGACAATAATTATAGTTGGAGACTACAGTGCAAAAATTCCTAGAGAATTTCTGGGGAATAAAGGTGGCATCATGCTCTTAGCAAGCACGTAGGGGGAAAGAAAGGTTTATAGAAACAGCAGGAGAGTGCATCGCAAATTATCCCACGGAGTGAAAATAAGGTGGCCTTAACTTT